AACATGGAGAAACCGTGAGGGCGTTCTGCTAAATAAGTCAGATGGAGAAAGACAAATACTGTATGATCTCACATGTGGAAACTAAAAAAACCAAACTCATAGAAACAGAATAGACTGGTGGTTGACAAAGTCAGAGGTGAGGTATGGGGAAGTGGGTGAAGGTGGTCAAAGGGTACAAACTTCAAGGAATAAGATAAATTAGTACTAGGGTTGAAATGTACAGCATGGTGGCCATAGTTAACAATACTCTATCATATATTTGACAGTTGCTAAAATAAATAAATCTTAGGTAAATCTTAAAAGTTCTCATCATAAGAAAAAAAAATCATAACTAAGTGAGGTGATAGAAATCAACTAATCTTATTAAGATTTTGCAATATATATGTATGTCAAATCATTGCATCTTATACCTTGTGTGTCAGTCGCTCAGTCAGGTCTGACTCTTGGCGACCCCATGGACTGTAGCCTGCCAGGTTCCTCTGTCCATGGAATTCTCCAGGCAAGAATACTGGAGTGAGTTGTCATTTCCTTCTCCATCATACACCTTAAGCTTACCCAATGTTATATATCAATTATATCACTAAAAAGGTGGAAATAAAGATATAAATATTGAATAAAATGAAAATTTTTTTTAAAAGAAAGAAAGTCTAGTATCTGTAACCAGAAAACTGTGGTAGTTCTTCAAGTGCTTTCAGCGACTTCTGGGGTCAAATCAAGCAGAAAATCAACACTTTCTAGCTCTGTGGCAATGGTGCTCAGCCTACCCATGCCTCAATGTCCCCTTTAATAAAACGGTACCACTTCATGGGGCTATTGCATGAGCTAAAAGTGTGAAAGTAATGTAAAATGATTAAAACACTGTATGGATCGTGATAAGAACTCTGTAAACATTACTCTCTGCTCCCTGCTGCCTGAGAGCACAAAGATCTATGGTTGGGCTCCCAAGCTACCCATCCCAGTGTCACTTCTCTGGCTTCTATGTGCCATTTCTTCAGAGCTTGTGCCACTGCTCAGAGCACATCTTCTGTACAAAATGTTTCATAGGACATCAGGGTGAGGGCTGGGCCACTCAGTCCATGCCATGGTTGATGGCCACTCTCCTAGCTGCCCCCAACCTAAATACATACTTCTCCCCTTAGATCAGAAAAACCAGCACCTCTTCCTATGGCAAAGTCAGTTTTCCCCCCTCTGCCAGCACCAGCCACTACTTCATGTGGGGAGGGAGTCTGTCTTCAGATAACCTTGTAACACCAAACTTACTAAAACTTGGAGAACTCACACATTGACAAAGCTTCTTTGAGTAGGAGAGATATCTCTTTTTCTTTTCATTCTTCTATGGGAGTGAGGGAAAAGATACATTGATGTGAGAATAATTTGGCCTTCTAAGTTTGGTCTCCCCCACTAGAAGTTCCTTAAAGCCTTCGATCTTCTCTTTTTCTGCATTTCACAATTATTAAATGGATAAATAAATGTGAGTAGGGGTTTTACTTGTGTTAGGTAGGAAGTTCAGTTCAGTCGCTCAGTCGTGTCCGATTCTTTGCAACCCCATGAATCGCAGCACACCAGGCCCTGTCCATCACCAACTCCCGGAGTTTACTCAAACTCATGTCCATCAAGTTGGTGATGCCATCCAGCCATCTCATCCTCTGTTGTCCCCTTCTCCTCCTGCCCCCAACCCCTCCCAGCATCAGGGCCTTTTCCAATGAGTCAATTCTTCGCATGAGGTGGCCAAAGTACTGGAGTTTCAGCTTCAGCATCAGTCCTTCCAATGAAAACCCAGGACTGATATCCTTTAGGATGGACTGGTTGGATCTCCCTTCAGTCCAAGGGATTCTCAAGAGTTTTCTCCAACACCACAGTTCAAAAGCATCAATTCTTCAGCATTCAGTTTTCTTTATAGTCCAACTCTCACATCCATACACGACCACTGGAAAAACCATAGCCTTGACGAGATGGACCTTTGTTGGCAAAGTAATGTCTCTGCTTTTTAATATGCTATCTAGGTTGGTCAGAACTTTCCTTCCAAGGTATAAGCGTCTTTTAATTTCATGGCTGCAATCACCATCTGCAGTGATTTTGGAGCCCAAAAAAATAAATTCTGACACTGTTTCCACTGTTTCCCCATCTATTTTCCATGAAGTGATGGGACTAGATGCCAAGATCTTAGTTTTCTGAAAGTTAGGCATGAGCAAAAATGGGTGGCCTAGTGGAAAAGGATGCAAGCTGATCTCTAAACCCCAGATACACCCAGGAGAGCTCACAGATATGCTACAAAAATAATCACAGAGACTTTTCCAACTCTTGCACATGCTTGCTAGGCACATAGTGGATAAAAACTAACCACAGGGGCTTATCCAACTCCGGCACATGCTATCCTTTATGCAAAGCTGTGTCTTCAAGTAACCTTAGGCAGCTAGGAGCCCATTAAGGGTTAGTAAATATTAATACATATTAATAAATATTCTATACATATACAGACAGAATTATGGGGAAGACATGTGCAATAGAGCCTGTTGTTATGTAACTTGCAACTGTCAATCGACCTTGAGTACACACCCATTTATATTCCCTTTCCTGATTGGAGGCGGATACAAGCCCCATTCTGCACAGGGCAGAACCAAGAAGAGGTGACGGGAAGTATAAAACGGGAGCCAAGAGGCTGCCTTGGGGAGTGTACTATTCTCCGTATGTTTAATAAAAGATGTTTGAGCTGTAACCAGTCTTGTTTTGAATCCCTGCTAAGACAAGACAGGAGCTGAGAAATCCTGCCTGCTTGAGCTGTAATTAGTCTGTTGTTCCAAATCTTTGTTACAACAAAATAACTGAGGAAGAGGGCTACCAACCTGACACTTGGTAGCTGTGAAAACTTATTTTTTCTACTCTCTCACCTTTTACCTTGGAACATAAAAATAGGCAATTGCATAATAACAGGTACCAAATGACTCTACCTCATTGCTGAAAGTAGGATTTGATTAATTTTAGTTAGAAAATTTTAAAAGGAAAACCTAGTATTATTTAACAATAATTGCAGTGAAGTGAAAGTCACTCAGTTGTGTCTGACTCTTGCGACCACATGGATGGTAGCCCGCCAGACTCCTCTGTCCATGGGATTCTCCAGGCAAGAATACTGGAGTGGGTTGCCATTTCCTTCTCCACGGGATCTTCCCAACCCAGGAACTGAACCCAAGTCTCATGCATTGCAGGTATTACTTAAAAATAATTGAAACTAAAAAAAAAATATAAAAGTCACTCTTCTTTCTAGATATATAAACACATGTATAAACAAATAAATGAACAGACTTGCAGAAATGAGTTAACATAGATGACTGTCAATAAACCAACTTGCCTGTGAGGTTGGCCATTAGTTGGCAAACAGGAATTTGGCATACAGCATTTGGATTTTGGGAGGGCTCCCCCCAATTTCAGAACTGATCACAGTGACTTGCTAAATGTAAACCATTTACACAAACTTGGTCTGTGATGAACATCTGTTTTTATTCTGGGAATCTGAAATTTTCATACTTACTAGGCAGAGGGTACCTATGAAAGTAGCCCCCAGGAAAAACCCCAGAGTCTCCAATGAGCTCCCCACATCTTACATTGTGTTGTCACAACTCATTGCTGGAGGAACTGAGCATATCTTAGGTGACTCAGTTGGGAGAGGAGCCGTGGAAGCTTGTGCCTGGTTTTCTATGGACGTCACCCCTGTGTTTTTTCTTTTTGCCAACTTTGCTTTATATCCTTTCAGTGTAATACATTTTAGCCCTGATTATGACTTTTATGCTAAGTCTTGTGAATCCTCCCGGTGAACTGTAGAACCTAAGGGTGGACCTAGGAACCCCAACATGGTAGGAAAATAAACTGATGAGTGCTAGGTGCAAGTGAGGCCACTACTATTTGATAGTGTTCAAAAAAAAAGTCTGCAGGGAACCTGTTCTCTTCTTCTCCAAACTCTCATAGCGTACTGCACAGTTTTTGTAATGGTACTTAATACATTACCGTATAAGACCAGGTCCTCTCAGCAACCTCCATTCTCATCTCTGCTGCGGCTAAGTCGCTTCAGTTGTGTCCGACTCTGTGCGACCCCATAGACAGAAGACACTACTAATTAAAATGCATTGCAGGAGGGCTTCTTGCGTAGGAGATGATTTCAGGGATCAGCAAGGATGACACCGAGTCCCTAGTTCTGTGAAACACCAGATTCCCCCCTTATTGGCCATTCTATCCCTCATGTTTCATTAAAACTGTCTAGTATTATTTAACAATAATTGCAGTGAAGTGAAAGTCACTCAGTTGTGTCTGACTCTTGCGACCACATGGATGGTAGCCCGCCAGACTCCTCTGTCCATGGGATTCTCCAGGCAAGAATACTGGAGTGGGTTGCCATTTCCTTCTCCACGGGATCTTCCCAACCCAGGAACTGAACCCAAGTCTCATGCATTGCAGGTATTACTTAAAAATAATTGAAACTAAAAAAAAAATATAAAAGTCACTCTTCTTTCTAGATATATAAACACATGTATAAACAAATAAATGAACAGACTTGCAGAAATGAGTTAACATAGATGACTGTCAATAAACCAACTTGCCTGTGAGGTTGGCCATTAGTTGGCAAACAGGAATTTGGCATACAGCATTTGGATTTTGGGAGGGCTCCCCCCAATTTCAGAACTGATCACAGTGACTTGCTAAATGTAAACCATTTACACAAACTTGGTCTGTGATGAACATCTGTTTTTATTCTGGGAATCTGAAATTTTCATACTTACTAGGCAGAGGGTACCTATGAAAGTAGCCCCCAGGAAAAACCCCAGAGTCTCCAATGAGCTCCCCACATCTTACATTGTGTTGTCACAACTCATTGCTGGAGGAACTGAGCGTATCTTAGGTGACTCAGTTGGGAGAGGAGCCGTGGAAGCTTGTGCCTGGTTTTCTATGGACGTCACCCCTGTGTTTTTTCTTTTTGCCAACTTTGCTTTATATCCTTTCAGTGTAATACATTTTAGCCCTGATTATGACTTTTATGCTGAGTCTTGTGAATCCTCCCGGTGAACTGTAGAACCTAAGGGTGGACCTAGGAACCCCAACATGGTAGGAAAATAAACTGATGAGTGCTAGGTGCAAGTGAGGCCACTACTATTTGATAGTGTTCAAAAAAAAAGTCTGCAGGGAACCTGTTCTCTTCTTCTCCAAACTCTCATAGCGTACTGCACAGTTTTTGTAATGGTACTTAATACATTACCGTATAAGACCAGGTCCTCTCAGCAACCTCCATTCTCATCTCTGCTGCGGCTAAGTCGCTTCAGTCGTGTCCGACTCTGTGCGACCCCATAGACAGAAGACACTACTAATTAAAATGCATTGCAGGAGGGCTTCTTGCGTAGGAGATGATTTCAGGGATCAGCAAGGATGACACCGAGTCCCTAGTTCTGTGAAACACCAGATTCCCCCCTTATTGGCCATTCTATCCCTCATGCTTCATTAAAACTGGCATCAGAGCTTCCCAGTGACATGGAATGAAAGGTATATCTTTCCTTTTCATTCAGTCAGTTGTGCTCAACGTTTTACTAGTAAACTGAAAGAACGCAAACCCAAACAGGACAGATGATTGAAACAACTAATCTGACCTTTTTTTTCCCTCTCATCTCACGCTGGAAGCACATTCATTTCTGGTAAGTATAGTTAATAGCAAGGAACAGAGAGGTGAAGTACCTGGGGATATGATTAATATAAAATGGTGTAAAAATTACGGATTACTCATTGTATTTTTTACTTCCCAATGATGAACAATCGCTTCCATTTTATTTGCTCTGGAATCTATATAAGCACAAATTAATTTAGTGGAAGAAAGTTTTATGACCTTTATTATTTGGCCCAAGTTCATAATGATATCTGAAAAGATTGACAGGAAATTTCTGTTTAGACTAATAAGCAAAGGAATCACTATTTCAAAGAAAGATAGCTGTGTATTTTTTTATTGGATTCTTCTCCCAGGCATAAGAATAATACTGTCTATTAATCTATGAATGTGTAATGAAACATGTTGTCCATGTGATTAAAATATGAAATGAGAACTCTCTCTTTCTCAGTGGTTTACATGGAGTACTGACCATATGATATGGCAGACTCTACACTAAAAATCAGTATTTGTCTTTCTCTGACTGATTTGTTTTGCTTAGCATAATACCCTCAAGGTCATATGTGGAATACAAAAAAATAATAATCAAAACCAAAAAATAAATAAATAAATAAATAAACAAGCCAAATTAAAAACAAACACATAGATACAGAGAACAAAGTAGTAGTTATCAGAAGAAGACAGTGAAATGGGTAAAGGCTTAACTAGATCAATGAACAGAAACTAAATTTTTGGCGGTAAGCACGCTGCAAGGTATACAGAAGTAGAAAAATAATGTTATACACGTGAAACTTACATGATGTTAAAAATCAAAGTTAATGAAAAAAACTGAAAACAGTGAGTACACAGTGGTTAACAAAGCAGACTTGATCATTGCCCTTGTGTAGAAAGGTCTTGTGGGAAAGAGAAAGCATACATAAAACAAATGAATATTTAATCACAAGTTATGACATCCTGTAAAGGCAGAGGGTGCTAGGAAAGATAAATTATATTAGGTTGTGATAAAAAGACCTCTGCAAAGGGAAGTACATTTAATCTGAGGCCTCAAGAATAAGACTGAGTCAGCTGGAAATAGCATGTGTCTATCAACAGGAAAAGACAAGGAGGTGGGGTGTTAGGTGAAGTACGCAGCGTGCACTGCAGGTCTTTGGCAGAAAGATCTTGCAGAGATTAGGAACTGAAACAAAGTCAATATGGCTGGATCACAGTAAAGGAGAGGTCAGTGGTACATGACATCCTCTAGACTGCCTAGCACAGTCCCATGGGTACTGGAGCTCAATATATTTTCATGGAAAATACATAAAGCTTCTAATAATATTTTTCAGGAGGTTAACTTGGATCCTAAATTTTTATTTTACCCCAAATGGCCATTCTAATGTTTCCAAGAATAAAAACTATGTGAGAAGGCACACACTCCCCTGGGATAGCCATAGACTAGTGTGGGGATTGTGGATTTTCTGCAGTGGAAATAAAATACTGCCAGTGAATTAGATACTGGATTAATCAGCTTTGTTTAGTGGAGTTTAATTGGGGCAGACGGTTTGGAGAGAGTTGGTATGGTGGAATTCGTGGATTTAGAAAAGAATTGCAAAGATTTTAGCACTCTTTGTGCCAAAGTCTCATCAATAACCATGTCCCTCAGGTTAAATCCAAAGCAACTGGGGCTGGTAGGGTGGTAAAAAAAAACTATTTTGCACTCTGTTAGTACTCATGTGGACCTAAGTCACTGACATTTCCCTGTCATATAAACTTGCAAGTAGGAAAGGTAAGTCCAGCTTCATTTTCAGTGCTGCCGAGGCACTCAGAACTCAGACTGCCTTTCAGCTGTAGACAAACTGAAGAACTAATAGAATACAAGGAAAACAAGTAGCACGCAGCACAGTGCCACAAGTCAGTTCCAGACGAAACTGATGCAGAGGGAAGTAAGCCAACTGCTGAATTTATTTTAACTCTCTGAAACTGGAGGTACTCCAGTCAAGTATATACAATTAGCAAAAATAAATACATGAAAATTTAAAAAAAAACACATTAACACAATCTTCCACCTTCTGATGCATTATTTTACCATCTTGGAGGCCCACTTGAAGGAGCAAAACCAGTGTAAGTTAGAAATACATGAATTTAATCTCTCAAAATCACCACATGTGATTGAGTCTTTCACAAAAAAAAAAAAAGACCATGGAAAGGTATTTGGAAATATTTTCAGAACCTGAGAATGACTAGGTTGGCCCATCTCTAAAAGGTGAAGTAATGATCCTGTGAACATGATGATATTTCTCATATTTTTGCTGCTCAGGATATATGTTATTGGGGATAAGAATAAATAAGCTGGGAATTTCCCTGGTGGTCCAGTGGCTAAGACTCCTCATTCCCAATGAAGGGATCTGGGGTTCCACCCCTGGTCAGGGGACTAGGTCCCATATGCATAGCAACAGATACTGCGCTGCAAAAAAAATTAAAAAAAAAAAATTTTTTTTTAAATTAAAAAAAACAAAGACCCAGTACAGCCAAATAAATAAACACTTCTTTCTTTTAAAAGGATTAAACACTGATGTGAAAATGGTGGAAGGAATTCTAACCTGTACTATTCTAAGTTTTCATGCGAGACTATAAATCTGAAAGTCAGAGTGTCATTCTTAACAGAGTTCTCTTCAAAAAACATAACTGATTCTAGTTAGTTCAAGCAGAAAATAAATGTGTTAAAGGAAAGGAGGAAGCTCACCTGTTTTTTTAGATGACTAGAGTCAGACATGGAAGATCTGCAGTCGATGAGAGTGCCCAAACCACCCTCAGAGGGCTGGGCTAGAAGGCTCTTAGCATTTTCACCTTAAGAACATTTCTGCAAGCAGTTTCATGGCACAGCTTATTGGCCATAAGGCAACTATGCTGTAAAAGATAAAATAACTGACAGGTTAAATTTATCATGCAATATTAGAAGCTAGAGGGAAAAGAAGAATCAAACTCTTTCTATCGCTCCCAAAAGATATAGTTATGTCATTCCTGATGAGTATAACTTTCTTGAAAATGGTGAACATTTTTGCTATTTGTTAGTGGAGAACTTGATGTACACAGAATCTGGCTTACCTAACTTGGTAAAATGCAAGAACTGGGCACATACTGGAACATGTAAATATGGTCCAGATGTGTACTGTCAATTGTAAGCATTATATATATATTGATAAGAAATAACAGCATTCCTCTATTGATTTAACTTCCAGGGAAATCGGGAAGTAACCATGAATATGCACACATTTTAAATGTATTCAAATATTTTCTGTATTTTTTATTTTTCACAATAAATTTTGCTAATTTTTCTTGCTTAATTAGGTCTTATTAACATCCCTATTTTGTTTTATTGTCATTTTATCTTTTATTGCAAAATTAGTCATGTGGCAAAACTGCTTTCTGTGAAATTGCTTGCAGCAAAGAAGTTTAAGAGAAAATGCCTGACAAAGCCTCTGGGACAGACACATTTGCTTCTGCCACCAGCCCAAGGCTTCCAGACTGCAATGATGATACTGCTGACTAGATAACAGACTCTTTTTAATCCTTTGCACCAAGGGCAGATGCCTCTTCTGCCATACTCATTGACTGAAAGATGGGTTTTTCATTCACTTTACATGGGTCAATTACAAATCAAAGACTTCCATGGATGTCTGTGATGGGCTGAAGCCGAATTACATGCTGTGCCCCACCTGAAAGGGAATGTAGGGGAGACAGTTCTGGTTTCTACCTTGGCAAATAGGGACATCTAAGGGGGCAGGTTTTCCAATCACAAAAAGGGTGGTCATAAAACTATGGCCCACAACATAGTGGGTGTCCTTTATAATTCAAATTGTGTAGTTGTTATTGTTCAGCTGCTAAGTCACGTCCAACTCTTGGCAAATCCATGGACAACTGCAGCACGTCAGGCTTCCCTCTCCTCCACCGTCTCCTGGAGATTGCCCAAACCCATGTCCACTGAGTCAGTGATGCCATCCAACCATCTCATCCTCTGTTGCCTTCTTCTTCCCCTACCCTCAGTCTTTTCCAGCATCAGGGTCTTTTCGAATGACTTGGCTCTCTGTATCAAGTGGTCAAAGTATTGGAGCTTCAGCTTCAGCATCAGTCCTTCCAAGGAATATTCAGGATTGATTTCGTTTAGGATGGACTGGTTTGATAACCTTGCAGTCCAAGGGACTCTCAAGAGTCTTCTCCAGCACCAGTTTGAAAGCATCAATTCTTCTGCACACAGCCTTCTTTACGGTCCAGCTCTCACATCTGTACATGACTATGGGAAAAACCATAGCGTTGATTATACGGACCTTTGTCAGCTAAATGATGTGTACTATCTCCTAATTATCAATGACATTTCATAATCTTGTTTTTTCTGTGCAAATAATGATATATTTATTACATGTACGTTACATATGTACATATGTATATGCTTCTTATTTTTTTATGGCTATTTTTCTTATTAATTAAAGATTCATTTATTCAACATTTAGTAATCCAACAAATTGTCTGCTTGGTGCACAAGTAAAAACCAGAAAACAAGCAGCTACCAAAATGGAGGTGGGATGGGATTGAGACTGCATAAAATATTATGTATTTGCTTTACACGAGTATAATACAGGCATTCAACTCAGGTCCTATTAGTGATCTTTTCTTGTTATTTTCTTGATAATTTATTTTGTGTTTTGTTCTCCCACTTGTGAAATGTTGCAAGACTAGTTCAATAAATAATCATATATTTACCACCTAGATTCATCAGTCTCTCTTGTTTTGAAGGGTTCAAGTTAGTTCTTTTTCATAATGTTTCTCAATTTGAATTTATATGGCTATTTCCCTAAGACTAGATTTTGATTAAATGCATTGGGTAGAAATGCTATGTAGGTGATTATGTACTCTCATTTAGAACTTAGAAACCTTAAAATAAGTCACATGAAATCCATTTGTCCTTTTACTAGTAATATTAGGTTGAATCTCTATGTTAAGTTGGTGGACTTTAGGTTTCTTCTTTATAGTTATTTTTCTCTGTGTGTAATTAAAAAATGATACTCTGGGACTGTGAGTATTTTGCTTCCAGGCAATCTTTGGACCAGTGATTTTAGCATCCATTGATGATTCTTTCCTGAAGAATGATGCAAAATTTTGATTTTTCATTCTGCCATGTCTTCTACATTATTAGTTGGTATTCTGTAAAAGAGGCTTTTCCCTTTCTCCTTATGACATTCAATCATTTGTTCTTACTAATTATGTCAACTCATTAATTCATTTTCTTATTCAATGGGTTATATTAATGACAGTTTTTACTTTAATCCTCAGAACTATTCAGATTTGGGCAATGGAAAGCCCCCTCAAGTTGGCTTCTATGTTATTTTGATATAGCTGCACTAGATTTTGAGCATTCCCTTAACTTATGGCACAACAAGACATTTCAACAACACTTATAGGTTTTCCTGTTCCAAGGCTAGAATCAGCCTTTCCCCAAGAATTACTAGTTCTTTTCAGAGAAAAATGAAATGGTGTTTACATGTCAGGATCTAGATGATGGTAAGCTCATTTCTTTGAGTATTATTACCTCTAAGTTTTGTGCAGTTGAAAAAACTGGGGAATATTTATTTGTATCTATATCTACATATCTTGATAACTTTAATTCAATCTAACACTATAGGATTTTTCTTTTCCTACTCTCATTCCATTATTTTGTGTGTTTTCTTTCCCCTCCCTTTTCATGCTTTACTATATGTAAAATAACCTTGTTTCTCCACACAAGCATATCACAGCTCAGGGTTGGGTGGAGGAATTCTACTGTTGATTCCACTTCATCTGCTACATAATGCCCAGTTAGGTGGTCATCTCAGGCTTGTGCGCTCAAAGCCAATCTTGACTCCTCCTGTAGTCAGGGTCCTGCACCTGTCATCATTCTTCAGCTTTTCTTGATTTAATCATTGCAGACATTTTTTTATTCTGGTCATTTCCTCTTGTCTGGATTATGTTAATATATCTCCATCTTGCATCCTTGTCCACATTGCCTTCTAACACACTGTTGCCATATAATTCTAAAGGCAAGTTGATTTCAAGTCAGAAATAATCACTAATTTTTCTAAAACACATGCACACCAAGTTTGGTAATAAATGTTTAATAGTTATTATTGTAGTCTGGTCCCACTCCAGTTCCTCTTAGTACATCCTCTGTTTCAGGTAAAATTATTGTCTCACTTCTTTGTGCACACTTTCTGTTTTTCTTGAGTTTATCTACTTCTCTCAATTTAATTTTTAAAAGTATAATTTCATCCTATTACCACAATGCACAGAAACTTTCCTTGACTTCTTCACAAAACCATTTATCTGTTGAAGTCATATTCACTTTAAGGTGTTGCCTTTTTACAACACATTGGCCAGAGCTCCTTGCCTTCAAAGGACACTGGAAACATTGCTTTTGTTCTGGGATGTCATACGCTCAGTGCAGAGGTGATATTGAGTAAGCGTGAGCATTATCTGCCATAATGGTATAGTTGTTAGGTCACTTACCGGTACAAAATCCCCCTGAGTTTTGGGTCAGAGCCTTCCTCATTTCAGTAGCCTATGAAGAGCCTGGTATTCATGTAGCCCTCAGGAAAAATAAAATTAAAAGAACATGGTCCTGAACACTGAACTCATAATTATCCAAACCACTGAAGAGAAAATTAGGCATGAGTAAAGAGGCAATGTATGCTGGAAAGATACAGCCTTGGAAGAAAACATGTAAATTATCTTGGAGCGCCAAATGCATTAACCCATAGTTCATTTTAAAACTCAGAAGGCTTGTTACTTTCCCTACCTCAAATGTCCTTTTCTTGTCACCTGTATCACTTATTTCAAGTCTCAGGTCATAAAACAGAAAGGGAAAGACAAATACCATATGATAGCACTTATATGTGGAATCAAAATTATGAATATGATACAAGTGAACTAACTTATGAAACAGAAAGAGACCCACAAGACAGAGAAAAAACATGATTATCAAGGGGAAAGAGGGTACTGAGGGATAAATTGGGAGTCTGATATTAGCAGTACGAACTACTGTTGTATATAAAATAGATAAACAACAAAGTTCTACTGTATAGTATAGAGAACTATAGTCAATACCCTATAATAAGCCAAAATAAAAAGAATATGAATGAGAATATATATATATAACTGAATCACTTTGATGTATACCAGAAAGTAACACAACACTGTAAATCAGCTATACTTCAATTAAAAAGAGAGAATCAACAACAAAAAAATAAACAAGCTACTAAATGAAGCCTTTTCTGACCACCTAGCCTATGGCACACCACTGTTTTATAGTATAATTTGTGTCAAGTTCTTAAACCATTTCATTATTCATATAATTTATTTCTACCCTCAAGAAGGCAGAATCAATTTAAAATGGCAATATAAATAAAAAAATTATCTTTCTTCGCTTTCCTCTTAGTACCTGTCACAGTAAGCACAGAATGTGTTAAATAAGAACACTCCTCATTGACCATGTGTCCACTATCTGGCTGGAAGTTGTTTAATAGTCAGCTAAAATCTCAAAAGAGAATAATCATATGACATCATCTGTCTTCTGACCACTGGGGGTGATGGGGCTGCTTTCTTAGGGAGGTAGTCTTGGATTGCAGGCAAGCACACAATTATTACTACAACCATTCCTTGTTTTATTTTTTCCCTATCTTTTAAGTTATTTAAAAATTTTTTTCTGTCACCAGAAAACATAATATTTTGTAAGCATTTATTTTCTGTATTGCCTATCTTTTTTTTCCATTCAAATAAGTATTTAAATCTTTGTTCTTTTTGCCACTGCTATATTCCTAATGCATAAATGTGGAATGAAACAATAGAAGAAAATGAAAAAGAAAGTTAAGTGACAGGACATCATCGAAGAAATATAAAGCTATGAAAGTGTGGTAGGACACTGGCTACCCTCTAAGTGACAACGGGGCTTATATTTGATGATGAAAGAATTTAGGTAGCTCTTTAAAGGGTCATGTAAAAGAAATGGTGAAATATGAAAGGGTCAGTGAAAGAGTTTTCCTCTATCCTCTTTGAATAATTCAGCCAATTCATATTTTGAGTTTAGGAGAATATTTTAATTGTCAACGTAGAAAATGACCAAATTACAGAAAATTTATCATGTAAGACAAGAATGGATTTGCAACTCAAGATTAACACAGGAAAACAGAAATACATGCTGTAATTTTTCCTTAGTTTCCAATTAATGAATGTAGTTGTCTTTTATACATAAAATGAACTTCTAGTTGCCATGAGTCCTATAAAAACAATATTTTAAATGACTAGTTCCTGTCCCTGTTTTTTCCTGTCTTATGATTTAAAAATGGGTGTTTTATTTTCTTCCCCTTTTCACATTTAGTTTGGAATCCCTTCTCCATTCCTTGGCCTCCATTTCAGCACCAAGGGTCTCATTATTGCAGAGTTTAAAAGCCATACGCAAGGGAAGTTCATACAGCAAACTGCAACGGAGGCGCAGCTATCATCTTACCATCATAACCACTCTGAATTGCTGGGTGGTACCAGGAAGCTCACTGGCACCTTGGCATAAGGCAGTGGGAACCCGTAATTTGGATACATTAAAAGTTGGTATGGAATTGCCATTAGGCTTTCATCCAGTTTTAGGGTGTGTGTGTGTGTGTGTGTGTGTGTGTGTGTGTGTGTGTGTGGTGTGCAAGGACAGGAAAAAGGAAGAGAAGAAGAGAAGAGAGAAGCATGTTAAATCAATCCTGGGCTCTGCTCAATTCATGCTTTGGTTATGAATGACATGGAGGGGTCACAGCTCTGACTTTATGACTTTTCTCTTTCTCTGGATCTCAGTATTTTGTTGGCAGCTCCTTTTTGCTAAAACCAACCAACCTGACTGATTGACTGGCTTTGCCAACTCTACTTCTTTCCCAAGGGAGTATTCCATCAGAAAGAATGGAATTCCATAACACATACAGCTTTCAACCAACCAAAGACATGAAAAGAGTGAGCAAAGGAGAAATGGAGGTTGGGGTCAGGAGGAAAGAGAAGTATCAAAGAGGTGGTAGATCTTTCTTGAATTGTGACTCTGATTCAGATGTGTGCCCCCATGTGCTTTTGGTTTGATACCAGAATCTTAGCATGTAACAAAATTCCTTAGAGCATGTGGTTATCTAGGGCCAAAGGTCAACCAATTTGACCACATTGAAGTGCTCCTTGAAGAAATCACAGGTTGACAGTGTAGGAAAACATGGTACCCAACTTTCTCTTGACACAGTCCTCAGCTATAAATTCAGGTTGGGTGCCTGACTTTGTAGCCAAGTTTCAGGGTCACTGAACTCATTTACCCATATAAATATTGTCTGTGAACTTAAAAGATGAAATTTATAGAGTCCAGTGAGCTGAAAATTATAGGGCACTGTGCCCCACAGGATACTTAGTTTCATGTGTATTTTGAGATTTGCAATTTCATATTTAGTGTATAATATCATAGTGCTTTTCTCCTTTCATACTCTTGGTGACAAATTTCTCACAGTTGGCAGATCCACTAACTCTTTGTATTTAGATACAAAAACCTATGAACTGGATGGAAGGGGTGTTAATAACAACATAGACCCACACAGCTACTTCCAGCACAAAGGCGTACAGGTATCTAATCCTTGTAAGGAGTATATAAAGGGCCACAAGCAAAGAACCCTAGATTGCATAAACTCAATGGCCTTCCTCCTAACTGCCTCATTGATCCCTGGGGAAGGGTAGAGAAGGGAAACTGTTTCTTTGGTCCCTTCTGGTCTCAGCTGTGGGAGCCTCTGCTGTCTTTTCCTGGATTGCTGCCTCTTCCATCTGGGTCTATCACTGAGTTTTTGCATGCCAGGTCAATGACTCCATCGTGTCTGCAATAACATTCAGCCACTTCTCTCCATTACTTCTCTTGTATTGGAAAACAAGAAAAAGCTCAATCTAATCTGAACTTGGGCAATAGAAGCATTTTAGCACTGCAAATGAATTATCTAAATGTGTTAGGAGCTATTTTACTTCCTAGCTAAATGTTAAGGATTGTACCACATGAGAGAGAAAAGTGCATGGCCAGGGAGGTTAGGAAAATAACCTCAAAGGACAGAAGGGAGGGCAGTGATGGTTACCACGCACAAGACTCTGGCTGTGGGTGATGGCTGCTATGCTCTGCCATAAACATAGGGCTCCAGGCAAATGGAGATCTTTTAGACAGCCTTAGCAACTAGGATCCCGGCCTCAAGATCAATGAGGATGAATAAGAGCTTATCCAACCCCAAGTCTTAATGATAAACTCATCAGACATTCTAAACTGCAATGGATCTTTGCACTGCCATTTGCACTAATGGACCCGACTCTCGGTGTCCATCCACACTGATAAAGTAGGAAGGATTATCTTTTCCTTTTTCTTCTTCCCCTGTCCCTCCTCTGCTTCCTGTTAGAGCGATCCCTCTCATGATCTGCTCTGTTGTTGCTATGGGCTGCTGGAAGGATCAGCAGCAGATGGGGATGCAAATAACAGCAATGTGCTTAGTTGCTCAGCTGTGCCTGACTTTTTGCGACCCCATGGATTGCACCTCACCAGGCTCCTCTGTCCAGGGGGATCCTCCAGGCAAGAATACTGCAGTAGGTTGCCATGCCCTCCTCCAGGGGATCTTCTCAACCCAGGGATCAAACCCAGGTTTCCTGCATTGCAGGCAGATTCTTTACCATTTGAGCCACCAGGGAACCCCAAATAACAGCAATAGCAGCCATTAATTGTGTACACTTTGTGTGCTAGACACTAAATTTCCACTTCATCCTCAAACATGCTTAGGATGAGAGTACTGTCATCTTCACTTACCCATAAGGTAACCAAAAGTGAGAAAAGTTAAGAAACTACCAAGAAAATGAAGGTAGTTGTGGTGGACACCTCGAAAGACCACACTTTTCCTAAGTTATGTTATGTCTTTTAACCTGTAAAAGCATTATATAGACGGCTGGTATTGGTTACAACTATCCTGCAGTTTTAAGTTTTGCTTGATGCCATAAGATATCCCTGAGCAAGGATGCTTAGGAAAGTCACCTAATACAGGTTAGATGACAGGCCAGGGGATGTCTTTCACAGTGATCTACGAATTTCTTCCTGTAGCCTCCCTGACTTCTAAATTTCAAGTGGAATTTAGAGAGAAAAGGGGGTGCTGAATATAACACTTGTTTATTCTCCTGTTGACACTTTCTGGTGTCTCAGTCTGATGGCAAGTTTTGGTTCAAAGAGTAATAATAATTTTTATATACAGGACTTTAGAGTTTACAAAGGTCTTTCATACCCTCATTTAAGTTTTCACCCAACTTGCAAGCTAAGAATTATGTGAATTTTGCAAATGGGAAAATTAATCTGTTCAAGGGGAAATATGCTGTATCCCAAATTCTGTAAGCATTTTCCAATTATAAAAATCTCCCATAATTAGGGTGGCTTATAGGCCCATATGCCTGGTTGTTCCAGCATAATTCTCTCAAAAGTGTCCTAGTTTGAGGTATAAGTTATACAGTCAATGTATGCTAAAGCGCAGAATTAAATGCAGAATTTTACCTGCAACTAGCACGTTTTGATAACATGGTGGGCTATACCTTGGGTCATCAGGGACACAGTGTGCTTCTCTTGCCTAAGAGTAATTCCTTAGGCAAGTGAATATTTGGGTCACCAATAACTTTTTAAACTCTACCTGTAAGTGAAGAGTTCTCTAGGTCAAATACTCAGTGTTTCTTTTCCTGCCCTGGCTATGCATTAGAAGCACTTGGTGAGATTTTTAAAATCAGAGCTGCCTTGTTCCACCCAGGACAGTTACGCCAGGACTTCTGGGGTGAAGCCTGGGAAATGGCATTTTCCAAAAGCTCTTCACAGCTTTGACAGCACATCCAGAAGTGATGATTGGCACCATGTGAATAAGCACAAGTATTGGGTTGGCTAAAAAGTTCATTCAGGTTTTTCCATAACATCTCATGGAAAATCCCAAACGAACTTTTTGGCCAACCCTATATAATGATGAAATATGTTAGACCCATGGAGAGGGCACCGCAAAAGAGATCAGAGTTGGGAGTGGGGTGTTACTGGGTGGGGAAAAGAAAGCTACCCTTGGCTACCTTTTCTAACTTATGAAACTTA